AACATTGTGTTAGTTTTTGCAAATTAAATACGTGCTTGCCGAGGGCGGAGAATATGATTGATTGTAAAAGGAAAGAAAAATGTTCACTTCGATTTAGAAAATACACAAAGCTGCAGAGGAGGGAATTCAAACCCACCGCTTTTATTCTTGTGTCCTTCCTGCGAAATTTTCAGCCGTCGTCTCTGAAAATATTTCCTCTCTCTTCTTCCGGTATTCCGAATATGTTTATGTTAGACTGTATGGTGTTGCCCACAAATCCTGGGAGCTCTGTTTTTTCACTCCTTATTTTCTCTTTGTATTTTAGATTGAGTAGTTTCTTTCTGTTGACCTATCTTTGAATTTACTGTCTTTATTTTCTCTCCCGGTTTCACTCAGTCTACTCATGAGCCATTGGCAGAACTTTATATCTCTGATAGCATTTAAAATAATTTTCATTTCTAGCATATATATGTGTGTGTGTGTGTGTGTGTATAATTAGGATTTAAAATATACCCCTATTTTACAAAAATCTTAATAAATTAAAATTGTCTATCCACCTATAATTAACAGTACCACATAGAGTATTTCCACGTGAGAACGGTGGCCTCTACCTGTTCCACGTCTGCCTTCCGGTTAGGGGGAAAACACCAACAAATCCAAGCTCATCGAAATCCTATTTCACATTCCTGATTGGAGTCAAGTTTTTTTCTAGGCGAACAATACTTTTTTGTCAATTCAGGTGCATGCATCAAGAAAAATAAAAATACAAGTGCTGCACGCCAAGGGGGTTTTTAGCACGATCCTGGAAATAAATTGTGCAGGCCCACGGACAGAAATTCATGTACACTGAATCTTCTTTCTAAGGCCACACCTCCCGACAGCGTCACCACCAAGTTTGAACATAGGAACTTCCGGGGTGCAGGTGGCTTTATAAATGGTCTCCCAAGTTTATGTGTAAAAGTCACTAATGTGCAGAATAAAAATTTACAAAGGTCCTCTCTCCATATATTATATGTATTATAAATGTATAATCATCTATATATTTTATCTGTATATAGATATTATATATTATATAGATATAAATATCTATATATAGATAATATATATAATTCTATTATTTACATATATATGTATTATACAATACATATATAATATCTATACATTTTATCTATATATAGATATTATATATAATATATATTATCTATATATCTATATATTTTATATATATAGAATTATGTATAATACATATATAATTACCTGTATATAATATATACATGTGTTATATAATTCACAGAATGGAGTTTGCAGCCTGCCTGCACCCCCAAAATCCACTTCTCGCCCGGTCTGTCTCCGCTGGGTTGCTGGAACTGTGGTTCTTGCGCTTGCTCAGTCTCCAACTCCGGCGTCCACCCTGGCTCCCGTGCTCTGCGTGTCCTCGTCCTGGGTTTCCTTCTGATTCCGCCCAGCCCAGCTCTCCCTGCCCTCCACACCCCTCCTGTTCCCTGCTCCTGTGGCCCACGTCCTCAGTGTCCCCGCCCCGCCACCCCCTGCCCCGCGCTGGTCTGCGGCCCAGCCCCCTGGCCACCCCGAAGCTGTGGCAGGACAGCCTGGCGGCCCTGCCTGGGTGCCCCGCGGTGCCCGCCCCACTGTGCGCATCCCCTCTCCCCAGACTCACGGCTCCCGGCCCCGCCTCGGTGCCCCGCGGCGCCCGCCCCACTGTGCGCGTCCCCTCTCCCGAGACGCATGGCTCCCGGCCCTGCCTGGGTGCCCCGCGGTGCCCGCCCCACTGTGCGCGTCCCCTCTTCCCAGACGCACGGCTCCTGGCCCTGCCTGGGTGTCCCGCGGTGCCCGCCCCACTGTGCGCGTCCCCTCTCCCCAGACGCACGGCTCCCAGCCCTGCCTCGGTACCCCGCGGTGCTCGCCCCACTGGGCGCGTCCCCTCTCTCCACAGACGCACGGCTCCCGGCCCTGCCTGGGTGCCCCGCGGTGCCCGCCCCACTGTGCGCGTCCCCTCTCCCCAGACGCACGGCTCCCAGCCCTGCCTGGGTGCCCCGCGATGCCCGCCCCACTGTGCGCGTCCCCTCTCCCCAGACGCACGGCTCCCGGCCCTGCCTCGGTGCCCCGCGGTGCCCGCCCCACTGTGCGCGTCCCCTCTCCCCAGACGCACGGCTCCCGGCCCTGCCTGGGTGCCCCGCGGTGCCCGCCCCACTGTGCGCGTCCCCTCTCCCCAGACGCGCGGCTCCCGGCCCTGCCTGGGTGCCCCGCGGTGCCCGCCCCACTGTGCGCGTCCCCTCTCCCCAGACGCACGACTCCCGGCCCTGCCTGGGTGCCCCGCGGTGCCCGCCCCACTGTGCGCGTCCCCTCTCCCCAGACGCACGGCTCCGGCCCTGCCTGGGTGTCCCGCGGTGCCCGCCCCACTGTGCGCGTCCCCTCTCCCCAGACGCACAGCGCACGCACACGCGGTTCAGAGCCGGCCGACGCCCTGCGTCCCACACAGAGGCTCCCATGCGTCGGGGACTCAGCCTCAGCCTCCTTCCCTCTTCTCTCTCCGCTCTGCACCTGCTGGGCTGCAGCCAGCCGGACTCCTGGCTCTTTCTGGAATGTTCCGGGACTGCAGGACCTTTGCGCTGACCCTCTTAGCTCAGCTCAGAGGCCACCTTCTCTCCGGGGGGCGGTTCTGCTGTGACCCTCTGTCGGGACTGCCCGCAGCGCCCCGCAGTCCCCTCTCCTGGCTCTGCGTCGTCCTCTCTGCGGCTCACTCCCCACGGGACAGGGTGAGCTCTGGCAGGTTCTGGACTGTCGCCACACACGTCCCAGTGGCTGGGGTGCCTGGTGTTCCCCCAGGGAGTGACGGCGCCGACCGTGGTGTGCAGATTTATTTTCCTGTGGGCTGGGTGCAAGGTTGGACGCCATGCTGATGTGGTGACGGGAGGAAGGTAGGTGGGAAAGGAAGGAAGGAGGAGAGGAGGGAGGAAGAGAGGAGGAGGGACAAGGAAGAGGAAGGAGGATGGAAGGAAGAAGGAGGGAAGGAAAGAAGAGGAAGAAGAAGGAAGAGAGGAAGGAGGGAGGAGGAAAGGAGGAAAGGGACAGACAGGAGGAGGAAGGAGTGAGAGAAGGAAGGAAGCAGGAAAGGAAGGAAGAGGGAAGGTTAAGGAGGAAGAAGAGGTGAAGAAGAAGGATAAAAGGAGGGAAAGGAAGGAAGAAGGAGGGAGAAGATAGGGAAGAGGAAGGAGGGAGGAAAGAAGAGGGAGGAAGGAAGGAGGAAGGAAGGAAAAGGAGGAAGAGGAAGAAGCAGGAATAGGAAGAAGAAGAAGACAGAAGGAGGAGGAAAGAAGGAGGAGGAAGGAAGGAGAGGAATGGAAGAGGGAGGGAAGGAGGGAGGGAGGGAAGGAAGGAAGGAGGGAGGGAGGGAAGGAAGGAAACATAATTCCATAACACATTTCACTAAGTAAACACAATTCACTAAACACCATTCCCAACTAACACATGGACCACTCATTTCCATCGGGAATTCCCGGGAGGCGCTGCTGTCTGCACCTCTCAATTCAGCCGCCCTTGAGCAAACGGTATCCATGGTGTCTTTCGTTTTCTGTGTGATATACTCTGCCATCAAGGTTTCTCTGGCCCTGGAGAGACGGCCCCCCTGGCAGAGCTCGCCACTTCCTAGGGCCGCTGGCGGCCCACCCGTGAGCCCCTCGTGTGTGCACCTCAATCCGTGCAGAAGCCACACCTTCAGCCCTACTTTGCTGGAGTTTCCCCGCTCCTGCACACCGTCCCCCTGCTCTGACCCCCTCGGAGCCAGACATGGACCCCTGGGGACAGCCCCAGGCCCCTACCCTGAGGGAAGCATTCGCCCCAGCCAGTGCCTGGCCTGCTGACCCTGCCTCTCCTCTCCCCTCCCTCGGAAACCATGATAATAGAGGCCGTGGCCTCCGGTTTCAGCCTCTCTCTCTCTGCCTCCTCACTAGCCTGGTGCCTCCATGGCGGCGTGGCTTGCACCCTCCTCCTCTTGCAAACCACGAGTAACAAGTAACAATCCCTCCCTTCAGTGATGGTTCTCTTCTGATCTGTTGATCTGTCTTTGGCCTCGCCCTTCCTAAATCACAACAACACGTGTTTCAAGCCCTGCTTAGCACCGGCTGCAGAGCAGAGGTTGCTCCAGGAGTCTTTTTTTTTTTTTTTTTTGAGACAGTCTCACTCTGTTGCCCGGGGCTAGAGTGCCATGGCATGGCGTCAGCCTGGCTCACAGCAACCTCAAACTCCTGGGCTCAAGCAATCCTCCTACCTCTCAGCCTCCCGAGTAGCTGGGACTAAAGGCATGAGCCACTAAGCCCGGCTAATTTTTTCTATATATTTTTAGTTGGCCAATTAATTTCTTTCTATTTTTTAGTAGAGACGGGGTCTCGCTCTTGCTCAGGCTGGTTTCTAACTCCTGACCTCAAGCGATCCTCCTGCCTCAGCCTCCCGAGTAGCTGGGACTACAGGCATGCGCCACCACGCCCGCCTGATTTTTTCTATGTATTTTTAGTTGTCCAATTAATCTCTTTCTATTTTTTTAGTAGAGACGGGTCTCGCTCTTGCTCAGGCTGGTTTCGAACTCCTGACCTCGAGCGATCCTCCCACCTCGGCCTCCCTGAGTGCTAGGATGACAGGCGTGAGCCACCGCACTCCGGGATTCATACCGGCCTCTGCTGCAAAGGGTCCACTCGCGCGGACCTCACCGTGGGCAGCAGGTTCCGGAAACTGCCAAAGCCTGGGCAGCAGGGCGGGAGGGGGGCGTTATTAGGTGTCTTTTCCACCCTGTCATTACTCAGGGCTGATCCACTTTCTTACATTCCTGCATCCCCAGCCAGCCGGTGGGGACGAGCACAAGGGGAGCAGAGCCGTAAATCATTAAAGCCTTGATTTTTTTTTTTTTTTGGCGTCCTGCACCGAGCACATCTCTGGAGGCTCGGTTTTTGCAAGGGGTGCTCTGCTCTGAAACTTTATGTTGATTTCTTTTTTCTTTTCTTCTTTTTCAGTGTTTCCCCCGCAGCCTGACCGCGTGGCCATCGTGACCGGCGGGACCGATGGGATTGGCTACGCCACGGCGAAGTATCTGGCCAGGCTGGGCATGCATGTTATCATAGGTGACGCTTCCTACCGTTGTTGCCCGTGTGTCCCGCCTGACGTGAGATGCCGAGGGCTTCACGTCCAGGGGTTTGCGAATAAATCCTGATTCCCGTATAGGAGATCTTCGTTCTCTCTGTAGAAAATGCTGTAGTGTTTCCTACGCAGCAAAGCCGTCAAGGCAAATATTCAGAAACCGGGAAGGACAGAAAATTGTCATGTTCTTTGGCACATGCATGTAGCTCATCAAAGGTGATGCTTTTTACAGTTCCTGGCGTGGTATTCCTAATGTGAGAGATGCTCTCGGGTGTTTATTTTGCAGATGTTTGCAAACAAATAGTGATTTTTCTACACACAAAAGGCAGTCAGATACAGAAAACCCGTAAAGGCAAATATTCAAAAACGGGGAAAGACAAGACAACTGTCATATTCTTCGAGACATGCGTGTAGCTTGTGCTTCTTTATGGGTCGTGTATTTTTCCGGCGTGGCTCAGTGGAATAAACGACGTATATCTTTATTAGCGTGCTTGGGCTGCTATTAATATAACAACATACCTCAACTTACTGGGCAGCATAAACAAACAAAATTTATGGCCTCATATCCTGCAGGCTGGAAGTCCCAGATCCAGGTGTCTCAGGGATGGTTCCTCCGGGGTCCTCTCTCCTGGGCGTGTAGATGCCATCTCCTCCCTGTGTCCCCACGGGTCGTCCCTCTGTGCCTGTCTGTGTCCTCGTCTCTCCCCTGCTCATAAGGACACCGGTCCTGTTGGATCAGGGCCCATCCGAGTGACCTCAGTTTACCTCAATCACCTCTCTAAAGACCCATCTCCAAATATGTGAATTTTGAGCAAACACAATGATGCCCATTCATGGGAACGAGTTTTTAGAGTATTGGTTTCTTCTGCTGGTGTGTTTAACAGCTGACGTAGTTAGTTCTAAACTTTGGTGACCTTGAACTTCGCTTGGAGTAATCTTTAACACACCGACTGCCCACGCGAGTTGTATTTAACTCAGGCTCGTTTTGACCCCGTGAAGCAAAACTCTGCAATTGGTCCATGGAAATCTTAGTTGTTGATGTTCTTGCTGTTACAACGAATGTTGGCAGTTTATTCGTCAATCTGAAAACTCGGATTGCGTTGTAAATAACTCACGCGCAGAAAACAATGAGAAATAGCAAATTAGAAAGGATGGTTTTGTTTTAGTAAAACACCTTGGCCCCAGGGGGAAAAAAATTTTTTTTTTTCTCCTAGCGTGGCTGTCAGTGTGCCAACCTAAATGGTGGCGTGAAAATCTCCATGGTGATGGTGTCTCTGCTGGTCACAAATCCCACGCACACCTTGGTGTTTTGATGCTTTCGTTGGAAGTGGAAGGAAATGCTCACCTTCCTTGGGTGGATGTTTAGGATAATGATACCCATCCTCCCCATAAAAAACTCACGGATCCCCTGAGTTGCAAGAACCCCAGGAATCTTCGGCCCAGCTAGGGCACCCCACACCCCACCCTGTGTGGCCTTCTGTTCTCCTTGGAGGGCGTGGTCCATGTGGCTTCCCCTAACACTTAGCTCGCTCTTGTAACCCAGTTAGACTCACACTCCCCAGTTTGAGCCTTTTTCGCTTTTGTAAACCATGAATGCAAAACTTTGTTTTCTATTCTTTTATCCTGTTTTTATTTTTATTTATTTTTTTTTTTTTTGAGACAGAGTCTCACTCTGTTGCCCGGGCTAGAGTGAGTGCCATGGCATCAGCCTCGCTCACAGCAACCTCAGACTCCTGGGCTCAAGCGATCCTCCTGCCTCAGCCTCCTGAGTAGCTGGGACGACAGGCATGCACCACCATGCCTGGCTAACTTTTTCTATATATATTTTTTTAGTTGGCTGATTAATTTCTTTCTATTTTCAGGGACGACAGGCATGTACCACCATGCCCGGCTAATTTTTCTGTATATGTTTTAGTTGGTCGATTAATTTCTATTTTCAGTAGAGGCGGGGCCTCGCTCTTGCTCAGGCTGGTCTTGAACTCCTGGCCTCGAGCGATCCTCCCGCCTCGGCCTCCCAGATTGCCAGGATGACAGGCGTGAGCCACCACGTCCGGCCTATCCTGTCTGCTTATTCTAATTTTTTCTCTTTTATGACCCTTCCCGAGTTTCACGTTCATTTGAAATAATAGTTTCTGATGGGCGATTCCTTTCCTTCTAGAACCGACCGCCCTCCTCTTGGGAGGTGGCAGGGTCTGTGGAGTTGTGTTTACTTGTCAGGCTTTGGGAGCAGTTGATCAGCTTTGGGGCACTTCAGTGCTGTCCCCATCAAATGGCTCATTTCCTCAGCGATGTGTTCTAAGTCCCACCCAAGCATGTTTTCTTTTATCCATTCTCTCAACAGACGGGGAAATGTTGAGAGTTCTTGACAACTTCCTGACCTTGTCAGCTTCATCAATGTCCATGACTCCCTTGTGTTAGCCGTTTTAGGGCAGCTATTGAAAAATATCGTTTGATCCAACAATCCCATTACTGGGCATCTACCCAAAGGAAGAAAAAGACATTCTGTAAAAAAGACAGCTGCACTCAAATGTTTATAGCAGCGCGATTCACAGTTGCAGAAATGTGGAATCAACCCAAGTGCCCATCCATGCATGAGTGGATTGATAAAATGTGGTCTATTAGAACGCCATGGAGTTCTTCTCAGCCACAAAAAAACAACATGGTGATCTAGCACCTCTTGTGTTATCCTGGATGGAGCTGGAGCCCATCCTGCTAAGTGAAGTATCCCAAGAATGGGAAAAACAAGCACCACATGGACTCACCATCAAATTGGTATTAATGGATCAGCACCTAAGTGCACATATAGTAGTAACATTCATCGGGTGTCAGGCAGGTGGGAGTGGGAGGAGGGGACGGGTAAATTCACACCTAGCGGGTACGATGCACACTGTCTGGGGGATGGGCACACGTACAACTTTGACTCAAATGGTACAAAAGCGATTTATGGAACCAAAACGTTCGTACCCCCGTAATATTCTGCAATAAGAAATAATACCATAGACTGCGTGCCTTGTGAACAGCCGAGACTTACTTTCCTAAAGCTAGAAGTGTGAGCTCCGGGGACCAGTGGGGTCAGGTTCTGGTGCAAGCTCTTTCAGATGACAGGTGGCGCCTTCTTTTTGTATCCTTACATGGCAGGCCAACAGCAAGGGGAGATTTCCGGGGTGTCTCTTGTGAGGTCACTAAGCCCATTCATCAGGCTCCACCCTCATGACCTCATCACCTCCCAAAGGCCTCATCTTCTAACACCACCACCTGGAGGGTAGGGATTTCAACCTGTGACTTTGCAGGGCGGCGGGGGGCGGGGGGGGGGCATAGACATCCAGTCCGTTGCGTCCCGCCAGATGAAAAGAGGTGGATGTGAGATGCAGAGACTGTTTGGGGAATGGGGCATGCCTGAGGATGCACCTTCTAGAACTTCATAGGAACTTTAGCACCTCCATGACCTGTTTACATCTCCCTGAGAGCTGAGCAAATCAGAGACAGGGTGGGGGTCTCTGAGATTTGGCTGTGAGATGGAGATGGTTTTGAACATCCTGGTTTTGATCTTCTGTGGTGTTCGTGGTGGGGCAGTGTCTCTTGTATCATTAAAGGCATGACAAGTTTTCCAGGATTTGAAATGTCTGGAACTTCTGCCATCATTTGAAATGACTTGGTCAAAATGGTGCTGGCTCTTGAACGGAGGAAGTAATAGGTCCTCTCTGAGGGCTGGATGGATGTGGGCTGGTGGCCCCAGTGATGGTGGAGGAGCATGGGGAGAAGACCCTCCAGGCTGAGAGAGAGAGGACCGTGGCATCCACTGCTGGTTGTCCTTGCCCCGTGGCACCTCCAGGGTAGTGACCTTCTTCATTTTCTTAATCTTAGCAAAACTAGGCAGTGTTGGAAGAAAAAAATAATGCCCCACCTCTCTCTGCTCTTTTTTTTTTTTTTTTTTCTGCCTCAGTGTGGTGGTTTAGGTGATGATGAAGTCTAGTTGGGTAGATCATGTGAGGTCTAGTTCAGTTAAGTTGTATGAGACCTAGTTGAGTTAGGTCATATGAGATCTAGTTGTATCAAGTCATGATGAGGTCTATGTGGGTAGGCCATGTGAGGTCTAGTTGTGCAGGCTATGTGAGGTCTATTTAAGTTACATCATGATGAGATCTAGTTGGATTAGGTCATATGAGGTCTAGTTGTATAGGTCATGTGAGTTCTAGTTGAGTTATGTCATGATGAGATCTAGCTAGATTAGGTCATATGAGGTCTAGTTGGGGCAGGTCTAGTTGAATTATGTCATGATGAGATATAGATGAGTTTGGTCATATGAGGTCTGGTTGGGTAGGTCATGTGAGGTCTAGTTGAGTTACGTCCTCAGGAGATCCATATGGATTAGGTCATATGAGATCTAGTTGAGTTGTATCATGATGAGATCTAGATGGATTAGTTCATATGAGGTCTAGTTGGGTAGGTCATGTGAGGTCTAGTTGTATTAGGGCATGATGAGATCTAGTTGAATTAGGTCATATGAGGTCTAGTTGGTAGGTCATGTGAGGTCTAGTTGTATTAGGGCATGATGAGATCTAGTTGAATTAGGTCATATGAGGTCTAGTTGGGTAGGTCATGTGAGGTCCAGTTGAGTTATGTCATGATGAGATCTAGTTGAATTAGGTCATATGAGGTCTAGTTGGGTAGGTCATATGAGGTCTAGTTGTATTAGGGCATGATGAGATCTAGTTGAATTAGGTCATATGAGGTCTAGTTGGGTAGGTCATGTGAGGTCTAGTTGTATTAGGGCATGATGAGATCTAGTTGAATTAGGTCATATGAGGTCTAGTTGGGTAGGTCATATGAGGTCCAGTTGTATTAGGGCATGATGAGATCTAGTTGAATAGGTCTAGTTGGTAGGTCATGTGAGGTCTAGTTGTATTAGGGCATGATGAGATCTAGTTGAATTAGGTCATATGAGGTCTAGTTGGGTAGGTCATGTGAGGTCCAGTTGAGTTATGTCATGATGAGATCTAGTTGAATTAGGTCATATGAGGTCTAGTTGGGTAGGTCATGTGAGGTCCAGTTGAGTTATGTCATGATGGGATCTAGTTGAATTAGGTCATATGAGGTCTAGTTGGGTAGGTCATGTGGGGTCCAGTTGAGTTATGTCATGATGGGATCTAGTTGAATTAGGTCATATGAGGTCTAGTTGGGTAGGTCATGTGAGAGATAAACAACATGGTGGCTGGCCGTACTACTCTGGTACTCAGCGAACATCACCTAAGTGAGGTGGTAGCACCCCCACCCCGGGGCTCCAGCCCTCCCTGCAACCGTACCAGAAGGTCCACCTGCCTGTGTCATGGCAGGTGACACAAGGAACGAACTCGCTGAACCCAGACCCTCATCCTGACCACTAACACACCCCACACGACTGTGATCATGATCCAACCAGATCTCATTATGCTAGTGCAGAAAGACTCAAACAACCTAAGCAACCACAACCCATACACACAATAAACGAACACACATGTAACCCACAAATAAACAAACTTACATAGTCCTACCCAACTCTCTTCAGGAATCCAACCAACCTAGACTATTGTGAAACTGATACAGCTACACATCCATGCCGTACCAACTAGTAACATCATGACCAGCCCAACTAGACTCATCAAACCTAACCACTAAATCATGTACCTACCACTAGATCATATGACCTATTCAACTAGATCATCATAGCCCTAAACAACTAGACCATCATAATGACCTACCAACTACGACCTCATATGACCTGATTCACTAGATCGCATCATGCCCTAAGTAGCAATGACCGTCACATGACCACCATACCTCATAGTGGCCAGATTCTAAAGACTGGAGATGCCCATATGCCCTAATACAACTAGACCCAATGACTACCAACTTAAGCCTCATAGACCTTAATTCTCAACTAGATCTCATCATGCCCTAAGTACAACGAGACCTCACAGAACCTTACCAACTAGACCTCATATGACCTAATTCAACTAATCCCATCATGCCTAATACAACAGACTCATATGACCTACCCAACTAACCTCGATTATGAGATAATTCAACTAGATCTCATCATGCCCTAATAACTAGACCTCACATGACCTACCAACTAGACCTCATATGACCTAAATTCAACTAGATCATCATGCCCTAATACAACTGACCTCACATGACCTACCCAACTAGACCTCATATGACCTCAATTCAACTAGACTCACTCATGCCCTAATAAACTAGACCTCACATGACCACCAACTAGACCCATATGACCAATTCAACTAGATCTTCATCATGCCCTAATACAACTAGACCTCACATGACCTACCAACTAGACCTCATATGACCCTAATTCAACTAGATCCATCATGCCCTAATACAACTAGACCTCACATGACCTACCAACTAGACCTCATATGACTAATTCAATAGATCTCATCATGCCCTAAATACAACTAGACTCACATGACCTACCAACTAACACATATGACTAATTCAACTAGATCATGCATCATGCCCTATACAACTAAGACTCAT